ATGTAGCAACATATGACTTACAAACATTTCGCAACTAAAAAGCCATATATGGCAACATATGATATAACATAAAAATGATGCTACATGTGATTTGTTTGTTACAACAGAGCAATCATAAGTAGCAACATATGTGTTAGATTTCGCAACTAGAAAAATCATATGTGGCAAAATATGAGTTATATTTCGCAAAACAAAATCCACAAGTTGCCACATTAGATATAACATAAAAAAGTTGTCACATATGATTTGTCTGTAACGACAGAACAATCATATGTAGCAACATATGTGTTACATTTTGCAACAGAAAAACCATATGTTGCGATATATAATTATTATAAATATTACTAATTGGGTTTTTAATTAATTTATACAGGTACAATGTCATTTTTTGTAGGGATAGATTGTCGTGGTTAATGGGTTGAGAAGAAAAATCAATTCATATGGTGGTTGGATGGTAGTAAAAAACGAGGAGCTTGTTCAGTAGGGATGTATATCAGAAGAAACATTTTGTATGATGATTTCTTTAATTTAGTCGTGCAAAATTGTGGATACAATTGTAAACCGCAAGATCTTGTTATGAGTTACATTCTACATTTTTTTCATAATGAGAAGGTTTTACCTTTTATAAGAACTAATCAATCTAGTTTGCTTGTTTATTTGGGAGGAGCAGAGAAACCGCCTATGTTAAGAGTATACGTGGAAGAATATCCGATCGAGGAGAATCATAATAATGTAGAGGAATGCCAACAAGATATGTTTAATGAGGAATTTCGTCCCGCGGACATGAATAATCATGATGATGAAATTGGAATAGGTAAAGGTGAAGGTGAAGGTGAAGGTCAAGCTGAAGGGACGGATTGCAAGTTCTCTCCCACACCTATAATTGACAACAACAATCAACATTCTACTCAAGCTTCATGTGTGAATAATGTTAGACATGATGAAATAGAATTTTATAAGGGAATGACATTCAAGAACAAGCAACAACTAGCAAATTCGTTGAAAATTGCTTGTTTGTAGACTGAAAAAGGTGATCAATTCTCGTAAAGTGTTTTCCTTTAAATGTTCATATCCGAATTGCAATTGGTGGCTGAGTGCTGTGAAATTTACAAGTAGTGATAGGTTTGCCATTAGAATATATGAAAAGTACAATACGTGTGGTCAGAGCATCTTACAAGCCATAATCCCCATGCCACGGCAAAAGTCATAGGTAAGTACTTTGAAAATAGGTTTCCCAATGGTAAAGGCCCATCCAAAAGAGACATATCAAAACAACTCCACACAGAATTGGGTTGTAAGGTAAGTTACTGGAAGATTTATAAGGGCATGGAGCATACTAAGTCTAATGATAGGGGAACACATGAGCACGGGTACGCAGTGCTTAATGTGTACCGATATATGCTTGAAGTTGCGAATCCAGGAAGCAAGACGACATTGTCGTTAGATGAAAATGGGAGGTTCCAATACTTCTCTGTATAATATGCTGCTTGCATAATTGGTTTTCAATAAATAAGAAAATTAATAGCCGTTGATGGCACATTTATAAGGAGCAAGTATGGAGGAGTTCGGTGGCATAAGATGCCTAGAATCACATATTTCCAGTGACTTTTTGTGTCGTGGACAAGGAATGTAATCCCTCATATGAATATTTTTTAAAAATATGAGAAGATTTGTAGATGATACTGATGAGTTGTGCATTATCTCTGATAGGTATCCAATCATTCAGAAGATGGTTTTGAGAATCTACCCTACATCTCATTATGGTAGTTGCATGATACACCTTGGGAAAAATATTTGAAATAACTTTCACAATTCAAATGTAGTGTCCCATTTTTATAAAGCAGCAAAGGCGTGCGATATATGTGAGTTCAATGACCATTTCAATCAAATAAGACATTTGGTACCAAAGGCCGCTGAATCTCTTGAACGTATTGGATTTCACAAATGGAGTAGGGCAGTTTGCCCGGGAAATAGGTACCATCTCAATTGAGTTTATTTTTACTTTATGTGTTCTATTTGATTTTTATCTGTTGTTGTGTAGATATAACATTATGACGTCAAACATAGCGGAATTGGTGAATGCTAGTTTGGTGTTGAAAGAAAATTTCCCATTGTGGCTCTATTTGATGAAATAAATAGGAGATTTGCATTGTTATTTCACCATAGGCGTATGGAGCTGGTGCATTCCGCAAATAGATTTGTTCCTTCAATTGAAAAATACATATTAGAGTATGTCAACACGGGCAACAAGTTGTTGACCCATCAAATCGCTAACTACAAGTTCTGTGTCACTGGTCATGAAGATGTTGCTACTGTGGATCTAGAAAGAAGAACTTGTACTTGTAGAATTTTTTATTTGGACAAAATACCTTGTCCACATGCCATGGCAGCGAGTCGATTACCACATGGTGCTGAATTTGGAAATAAGATTTACCTGTACTCCTCTCCATATTATTCGGTGGAAAAATACATAATGGCATATTGTCAGGAAATTCTCCCGGTGCCAACTGAAGATTCGTGGATCGTCCCTTTGGATATTATACAGAGAGAAATACCTCCTTCATATGTTGATCCAAGTAAACCCAGAAGAAGGACATATAAGAGACGGTGAGGAGTTGGTGAATCATTTCTAGTAAGAAAAAATAAGTGTTTAGTATATAGGGACTTTGGCCACGAAAAAACTTTTTGATCAAGTCTAAATGCCCCATAAGAAGTGTTAAGCGTTGTGTTGTTGAATTTAAATGAATGTTCTTTTGTGTTGTTGAATTTTAATGAATGTTCTTTCTTATTTGAGGATGATCTCTATTATATAATCTTATTTAGAAATGCCCCGATGTGTGATTTGTTGCTCTCCTTTATTTCTATGTCAACACATGTCAAATGTTGCTATAGGATATTAGATGTGGCAGCATATGCAACAAATGTTGCTACAGGCGAATCATCTATAGAAACATATGCCACACGTTGTGACGGACGAATGTTGTGATATACGCATGAGCGGTAGCAACATATGACTCAAATGTTGCTACAGGCGAATCATCTATAGCAACATATGACTCAAATGTTGCTACATATAATCATCTGTAGCAACATATACTTTTAAATAATGATTATGTGAGAGTGTGCTTTTAGATATATTAGATGTAGCAACATATGCAACAAATTTTGCTACAGGCGAATCATCTGTAGCAACATATGCCACATGTTGTGACCGACGAATGTTGCGATATACGCATGAACTATAGCAACATATGACTCAAATATTGTCAAATGTTGCTACATATAATCATCTGTAGCAATATATACTTTTAAATAATGATTACGTGGGAGTGTGCTTTTAGATATATTATATGTGGCAACATATGCAACAAATGTTGCTACATGAGAATTAGCTTAAGCAACATGTGCCACACGTTGTGACGGACGAATGTTGCGATGTACGCATCTGCTGTAGCAACATATGACTCAAATGTTGCTACAGGCGAATAATCTGTAGCAACATATGACTCAAATGTTGATACATATAATCATCTGTAGCAACATATACTTTTAAATAATGATTACGTGAGAGTGTGCTTTTAGATATATTAGATGTAGCAACATATGCCACAAATGTTGCTACAAACGAATCATATATAGCAACATTTGCCACATATGTAACAAACTAATGTTGCGATATACGCATCATCTATAGCACATATGCACAAATTTTGCCACAGACGAATCAAATGTAGCAACATATGCAACATGTTGTGATAGACGAATTGCTAAAATAAACATTGTCCTTAATTACATTGTCTTTAAGATAAAATAAAACAACAGAATTCATAAATTAAACATTGTCTTTAATTATAAATGCTAATTTCAAGACTTTAAGCTCTAAGATATTATCCCATAAGCCCAAACATATTGCATCCGATCAATCAGATTGTCACATAACAGTGTTTTGGGTAGTTGAAGGTCTGTCTTACTAATCAAATGCTTAATGAATGCAAGGAATATGACTCACACGCCGCTCTAGTTCGATTTTGTACAATAGGTTCCAATCGAATGTTAAATTCCGATGGTTGAGTGATCAACTTCTCTGGCAAATAATTCATTATACCACTCTGCATCAACAATTTAGGCAGCAACTCGAAGACAGGTTAAGTGAGTGTAAAAAACTTGGCATGTTTAGTAACCATCAAGTTTCTGTCATACACATTGATGTGACCCTCGTGTAAGAGAATCTCGAGAGTCACAAAATGGACACCCGTGTTGATGACTGTCAAAATCCTTTTTGTATCAATCCAATCCATGCCTCCAAGGGTTGGCCTAATACCCCTGACATAGTCAATCATATCATTATCCCATACAAAGTCATCTAGTAAATGATTTATGCTTTTACTACCAACCCTTATTGCCTCATCGCTCATCTGTTTATATCTTTCTAGGAAGTTCAAATAGAAGTTGAGATCCAGGATTCTATCCTTGGGATCATAGTAATCAAGGTATGTCATATGCCTCTCACGCATGAGGTTAAATAGTTTAGAAGAGTAATCATTGAAAATATAAAAGAAATAGTAATAATATAAAAAGTAGGATTACCCAGTCTTTCCACTAGACTTCTATGTTTGTCATGTTCCTGAAATTTTGACCGGTAAAAACATGCATGTCGTATTCTATTCGAATATCCTTTACACGCATCATACTCAACACTTTGTTTTTTTCAGCAACAGAGACGCGCTTATAAATATTCAACTTTTTATACTCGTCACTTCCTCAATTACGGCCCTTGAAATTTCTCCAAACATCTTTCTTTTAAAATTTTTCATTGACTTGGCAAATGATTCTTTTCTCCTCTTAGCCCGTGGAGTATATGTATGCTGCACATTCTTTGATACAATGACCTTCACACCTCTCTTATTTTTTAATTCAGTGACATCTTTAGTCAATTTCTTAAGATACATGACAGAATGTTCATCATTTTTCTTACACTTCTCACAGAGAAAGACAGGACATCATCTACAAGAGATATTCCCTTCGTGTTGTCCTGCATCAGCACCAGCAACAACAACAGCACCACCACCAACACAACCACCAGCAGCAGCAGCAGGACCAATACCACCAGCTGCAGCATCACAATAAAAAACAACTAATTCATTAACGACTTCATTATGAAGTCGATCTATTTTGATTGTTGTTGGTCTAGCGAACATCATTTTTACTCTATCCACAATAGGATAAAAAATGGTTTCAATCAACCCTAGATTTATTAGATATGGCAATTGCGATTCCTCTTATGTCGGGGTAATCCATGGATGCACAACCTAAAATTGTAAAAATGAGTCATCAGAAAGAATTACCATGTTGCTACAAATGATTCATCTGTTGCTACATGTGAAACAAATCTTGCTACAGATAAATCATCTGTAGAAACATGTAGCACATGTAGCAACTGACAATTCATCAGTAGCAACATGTAGCACATGTTGCTACAGATGATCCATCTGTCGCTACATGTGATACAAAATCTTCCTATAGATGAATCATCTGTATCAATATTTGTTTCACACATTGCTACAGATGATTCATCTATTGCTACATGTGACATAAATCTTGCTACATATGATATATCTGTAGCAACATGTGAAACAAATGTTGCTACAAATGAAATGTCTGTTTCTACATGTGCCCTATGTTGTAACAGATGATTTATCTGTAGAAAGATTTGTTTCACATATTGCTAGAGATGATTCATTTGTTGCTACATATGAAAGAAATCTTGGTACAGAGGATTTATCTGTAAAAATATGTGAAACAAATGTTGCTACAAATACACTGTTTGTTGCTACATGTGTCACATGTCGCTACAGATGATTTATCTGTAGCAAGATTTGTGTCACATGTAGCAACAATTGAATAATATGTAGCAACATAAGAGACATCTGTAGCAACATGTGACTGTAATATACTAATAATATTCTCAAATTACTGCATTAAAAGGAGGGTTAAGAAGATCTGAAATATGACCTTCTTTGTTAGTTTTTGTTCTTGCCAACAACCATCTCATCATCCTTGGGGATGATCTCTCTTCTTCTGCAATTACTTGATGGGTCAAATAAGGATTGACTTCAAATGCCCAATCCTGTAAAAAATGAAAATATGTCAATAATCAAATGTTGAATTATTACTTAGTGTAATATAAAGATTAAAAATATTCAGCTTTACCATAAAAGCCTATGGAAACCCAAACAAGGTACTGGTCTTTTCTCCTAAAGTCCTCAACTAGTAGTCGACATTTTGATGAAAGCTCTGACGACCCCACGGGTAGTTCTTGAAAGCTTCAATATCCTGACAGAAATTGACATACTTTAAAAGTATGATGTTGCCCGGATCCTTCGGCAAAAGTATATTATGTGTAAACCAAACTAAGCACAATGACTCCTTGTGCTTCCTTGGTGTATCCTCCTGTTCCAAAAAACTGAATAAGTAAGAATTTTTAAGGATTTTGCCAACAAGGGACATCAAGTCCTGCTCCTCAGTTGGCAGCGACTGTTGTCCTGCTTCTGCTACTTATTTTACTACTTTCTGTCTTCTTCGTGGTTCTGTTTTAATAATGTATTGAGGGATGGGATCAACAGAGGATGATATTTTAGCATTGTAACTATGTCAAACTCTCTATGCCAAAGAAAACTGGCATGCCACAATAATTAATTAGAATCTCATTCTTCCTATTGGGATTTCCAAAAATGAACCTTCTTTTCAGAAGTTCATACACAATGTTCATTTGAAAAGGTGGAAGTGGATCAATGGGTAAATCAAGAAAATGACCAAAACAACTATTACTGAAAAAATCTTTCAATTGTTTTATCTTGAGGATATCCCTGAATTTGACGAAAGGTCTTTCCAGGACAGACCTAATAATGCTGTCACCATTAGCATCAGGATGCAGATGCACAGGAAAAATGTTTACATTGATGATTTTAATCCAATCATCACCACTAGCATTGAACTCTTCATGAAGTTCTTGTTCTTCTTCATGAACTTCATTTATTTTTTCTTGTTGTGCCACAACTACTTTTTCTATAATTTTTTCTCCTTCTTCTTGCTAAACTTCATTTATTTTTCCTTGTTCCTCAACTCCTTCTTGTTTTTCATCTTCTTTCTCCACTACTTGCCTTTCTTCATATTCTTTTTGAGACAATTCTACTTCTTTTTGAGAAGAAGAAAATGTTCCAGTTGCAAGTTTTTCTAAAAGTTTAGTATTTTCGTTCCTCTTCGTAGCAATTTTAGACCTAGCCTTCTTCTGGATTTTTGTTTGGTAAAATGTATCAACATCAAATTTTCTTTTGAAAGGAGCCATTATATTTGTATCTGCAACCACAAAAATAAAATATTTGAAAGCCACACACACATGAGCTACAACCACAAGTCAAAACAGGGCAATAAGTGAATAAGCGCATGCATTTCAAACCCTAATTAAATTTTACCTTACCTGAAAAATATATATGTCAACGATAAAGTAGAAATTATGAGGACAACACCACCTTGCTGTAGAAGATAATCTGTGAAGGAAAGACTAAGAGAAGAAGAGAAGAGAGAAGGAGAAAATGTTGGAAAAGTAGAGAAGAAAACTGAAATTAATTAGTATAAATAAATAAATCTTGGAATACAAAACGACATTTATAGAACAGAGGAGAGAGAGGAGAGAGGGAAAATTAAAATTAAAGCCATTTAATTTTTTTAATTATGACAATTCAAATTGTGACATATGTTGCTACATATATACTATCTGTTGCTACATATAAACGATATGTTGCGACATATAAGTTTGTCGTGTTTATTACAACAGAAATAACATATGTTGTCACAGACAACACATTTGTTCCTTTCCATCATAATTGACATTTGTTTAAACAAAATCAATATACTCATAAAAGTATTTTAATTACCACTTAACCAATTGTTTTATACAACTTATCAACAAAAAAGTAATTCACAATGATATGACTCACATAACCACCTATATAATTAATAGTTGTGAACACAACATTTTCATCGATCTTAGCTTCTTTTTTAGTTCTACGCATCTCTGGGTCTTCATTGTTACTAACATAACCATTTAGAGCCTTTACAATCCCATAATTCCATAGGAGTGAAATATCTCAAGCAAAGTGTAACGACCTGTTTAGTCGTTTTGAGCAGCAGATTTTATTTCTGGAAAAACTGGCTGAGACGACGGAACCCACGACGGACCGTCATGGGCACGACAGACCGTCGAGGGTGTCTCGTTCCAAAATACTTAGAATTCTGAAAATTGGGTACTGAAATTGATTCTCTGAACTTCGTAACGGAATGGCAGGACGGACCGTCACAGGCGTGACGGACCGTTACAGACTCTTCAGAGAATTGAGTCTCTAAACTCTGTGACGGAGTAGCAGGACGGACCGTCGCAAGCACGACGGCCCGTCACAAGCTGCATAATCCCAGTGTGGGTCGAATTTCTGTTAAGTAATTTAAGGGGCGTTTTGGACTATTCCTGCTTTAATTATAAAGTTAGTGGGTTAATGTTAATAAGTCTAACTACTTGGGGGTTAAAAGAGGTAACCTTGAGTTAATTAGTGGGTTATTATTGCCATCTTTTATACTTAATTATATGCTAATTAAGGTAAAAGAAAGAGGGTTTGAATAAGAAAAAGAAAAAAACAGAAAGAGAGGGAGAAACGTACGATCAAGAGAAAGAAGAGAACAAAGCTTTGGGAAATTGCTTGCTTGATCAAATTCTTCAGTGGAGGTAGGTTATGGTTTTTATACTATTCGTAGTAAACTCTTAATAGCGAATGATATGTATTGGGTAGTGTTGTAAACCTTT